CATTGGGTAATGTGATACCTCCAGCTTTGCTCTTTTTGCTTACAATTGGTTTGGCTATCTGGGTTCTTTATGGTTCCATATGAATTTTAGAATATTTTTTTCTAATTCTGTGAAAAATTAGTTTGTTAGTTTGGTGGGAATAGCATTGAATCTGTAAATTGCTTTGGGCAGTATGGCTATATAAATGATAGCAATCCTTCCAATTCGTGAGCTTCAAATGTTTTTCCATTTATTTATTTCATTTCTGCTTTATTTCAGCTGTGTTTTGTGGTTCTCTTTGTAGACATCTTTCACATCCTTAATTAGTTGAAACGCAGGAGATATGGGAATAGGGTGAAGTAAAAGATGACGCTATAAATGAAGGTAGAGAAGAGATTGTAAATGAACTTAATTACCAAGCAATTTAGACTTTAATTCTACAATAAACAATTCAGTCTTAAAATGAGGGGATGAGGCATTAGCCCTTTATACTAATTTACTGTTTAATTATTTATAGTCCCCTTCTTACTATACACCCATGAGAGCAGAGATCTCAATATTGATTGACGATGTGTTTCCAGAACCCAGAAGAGTACTTGCTATTTAGTAGGCATTTAAAAAAAATTTTTTACATCACTAACTGTTCAAAAATGATTATTTTTCAAGAGTTAGCTTATAATGGGGTACCAGATAGGAGCAAGGAAACCAGTAAAATATGATTGAGCAAGAGAAAGTAAAGGCAGAATATGGGCAGTGGCAACTGATTTTACGTAGAATCGCAGAACTTCATAACTCATGAACTAGAAAGGGTTTAATAAAGTGAGAAGTCCAATGTCACAGAAGGGTTTCAAGCCTGGGTAACTAGATGGATGGTGATATTTTAACCAACACAGGATTATAAGAGGAAAAGAAAGTTCAAGACAAATGTTAAAAGTTTGGATTTGAACTGAATGAGGATAAGATGTATTTGGAACATGATCTGGTAGTCATCAGGTAACACTACAAGAGGAAAACAGTTCTTTAATTTGTACTTGGGTGAATAAAAACACTGATTTAATGTAATATAACTGTGTTCAAATGGCATCATTCATATCTTCTGAGTGCCTTAGAGGGATAAGAGTATTTCATTTATTATCAAATTCATTTGAGATTATAATTGTAAATCACTATCTCTACAACAGAAACAGGGAAGGTAGGAATAGATTAAATAACTGGTCCAAAGATTCCTGAATTGCAACTGGGGAAAAATAAAATGCAGGCACTGTAACTGTCAATGTAAGTTATCATCACAAATTTTATTACCTGGTAGACAAAATATAGACTTGATAGAATGTTAAATAAACGGAATGATTTAAATCTGTAATAGAGGTTTGAGGTTATTGAGATTTGTTTTGATTCTTCATTTTACTGTCTACACATTAGAAATTGCCAAACTAATAGAAAATACTACATCCAGCACAAACTCATAACTTATGTGAAAATGTTAAATCTCTGTTGCCCCTTTTTTCACAAATATTCTCTGAGACCCAAAAAAAAATAACGGATTTCACGGGCAAAATACTTTAACTGGGATATCTATGGAACTCTTAAAGAATTCTTTTGCTTTCTTTAACAACAGCATGAGAAAAGTGCAGTCTTATGATTATATAGCTTATCCACACCATCTTTATCAAAACCATCATAAGTATTAGGGAACATTTGAAAAATACATATTGGTCGATACTCTACCTTAAAGTCTTAGTGTAAGAAAATAATTTTTCTTGTCTATGAAAAGGATGATAAGGGGTTTTTGCAATCCATTGTCTCCGGAATATCAATAAGTGATTTCTTAGAGGATCTTCAATCCAATGCACTTTGAAATATTCATAACCATTTCTGGGATATTTATGAAGGAAAACCTAAGAAATTCACTTTGTGTGACTTGTAGAAGTATCTTTGAAAATCTCGTAAATCAAACACATGAGACTTCTGAAAATGATGGGATTTCAAGAATTGACTAATCAAGAAGCCTGGTTTGCCCACTGACTTTAGTACAATGCAAATACTAAGATGGTTCTGTGACATGAGGCACTTGGGGTAACTGGCTAAAATTGTACAAAAGGAAAGAAAGTGTAATATTTTGAAAATTTAGAAAGAGATAATAAATTATTTCCAAATATACCTTCCAAGAGCTATAATGCAATACAGTATGTAATTTTTATATATCAAAAAAGACAAAAAATACTGTTGTCAATAGACTTCTCTCACCTAAAACAGATTGAAAGATTGACATCCTAATTTTCATAATTTCCCTTTTACTTATCTATTTCCTTAATTATAAAATGTAATAATGGATTGTAAGTTGCTTATAATCTTCACAGTATAACTAGCTTCTTCCCTATTGAAAACCAAAACAAATTACAGGTTAGATGCCAGCAGTAGTAAAAAGAAATAAAAAAAGATTCCTTAGTTCAATTAACAGCTGTTCTCTATTGATGCTACTACACAAAATACAAAAGATTAAGAACTCAAATGTGAAACTTCTAATTCACAGGAAACCAGGGACGTCTTCATTTGATTCTTTGTTATTCTCAATGAGAAGACAGAACTTGTCACTGATGAATTTTAAGATTGCCTAAAGTATCTCTCGAAGAGTTATAGAGAGAAATAATTTTGAAGTACTGTGTATTCGCATAGATCAGATCTTGCTGAAATTCTCCAGAGTTACTTTCTTGAGAATTGTCAAATCAAGAAAAGTTAACTTGTTTTTATGAAGCACCTGCTATGATTACCTTTATGGCAAGTGACCTTGAGAAACCCATGAATGAGGATCTAAAGCATTATGGGAAAATAAGAAAGAGAAACAATATAAAAACAGGCACAACATTTAATAGTGTACACAATAGATGTGATGGAAATGCAACTATGAGAAATACCACTGTGAGAGACTTTCAAGGTAGAGGTGCGTATATACGTTCTAATGGAGTGGGGAGAGATGGCGAGGCTAGAGTGCGCAGCAAATAGGGAGATTATCCTGGCAGGTAACTACACAAGTAAAGGAAAGAGACAGGATTAAGTAAATATAAGAGCAATGCAAATTGGTAGAGCTGACATGGAGCTTTTATCTATAAACGTTGTCTGAAAGGCACCTGTACCATAAAGGTTAAGATCTAAATTTCTGAGACAGATTACTTGACACTGCCACTTACCAACTATGTGACTTTGGACAAGCAGTTAAATTTTCTATCCCTCCATTTCCATATCTGCATAAGAAAAATAATGATGGTATGTAGCAATACAAGTGAAATGCTTGCACACTCTTTTTATTCTAATAAGGCTGGCATTCTTAAGGGAAGGAGAAATGTTTGTTAAAGAAAATAAAAACTAAAAGTGTTCTTCTGAAAGCAATGGTCAAGATAGATTAAAAAGTTGTGAGTCTGCAGGCAGGGACATCAGACAGTCATTGTAATAACCCAACTTTTCCCGTTAACATTCAGAATACATTATCATTCAAACTGGAATATTGGTCTCAGAATTTTTATATTTAAGTACAAAAATGACCTTTTACTTTCCCCACCTTGCTACCTTAGTGTTTGCATCAGTCTCCCACCTCCAAGCTCCCTGAAACTCATGGCCAAATAAAAGATTTCATGATGAACTTTAAGGTTTAAACCTAAATCTTCTAGATCCCTGTCCACAAGAGTGCTGACAGTTCATTTAAGCTCAATAATTGCCGATAAAGTTCTTCATTCAGATTTGGGTAAAATTAATGACTTTGAGGAACATTACAGAATATAAGTTAATATTCACTACAAATGGAAAACTTCCTTGGGTTCTAATTTTATGCATGATAAATTGGAAGCTTTATTAATACCTTTAACCTTTAGCACATCTTTATTTAAAATATAGATTCAAATGTAAAGTCTAGCATTTGCATACATTGTACTAATTCGTCATAGTCACCCTTTCTAACCCTCAAGGCTTTGAGTTCATAAAAGGAACATGAATTACAATGAGATAATATTTCCATCATTGGTACACATAAGTTCTTTCCAAATCTTCTTTGTGTTTGTAAGGAAAAACTATGCGTAGTGCAGATTGAAAAGCTAAAAATTCTGATAAGAAGTGAGAAATACAGAAGTAAAAACTAAATATGTCAGACATGCTTATTTCAGGTGAATATCATTTCCCCTGCATCCAAAATGAGTTTATCTTTTAAACTTGGGCAATTGGGCAGAACAAATGCATTATCTTCTTTGAAATAAATCAGTTATTTATGTCAAATATTCTACCTAATGGAGGTGTATCGGGAACTGAAACAGTGTAACAATTGATATGATAAAAAAAGAAACTATGTTTAGTTTCTGATCTTAGCTTCTATACCACAACAAAATCAGAGTTACTTCTTTTTCATGTACTGCCATCATTGCTCTGTTGATCAAATTCCATGTGATCAGGAACTACTACAAATCCTACCAGCTGTGTAGCGTTCATCAGTCTAAAATGTTTCCGCTTAAAGGCTCTCAAAATCAGACTATGACCCATGGTCTATCATTTCTTAAAGAGAATTTATCAGTTTCTCCTGTCTGCTTTGCCTTAGGAATACTTCAGAAATACTCACTCTAATATAAGTCAGCTAAAATTGCCACACTACCTTAGAAGTTGTGCTACAGCTGCAGAAGCAGCTATGATCGCTGCTGAAATCCTGGCTTGAGCTTGTTGTTTTGTAAGGAAGAACTAGAGGACAAAAAGAACATAATCTGAACAAGTGATTGCAGGGCTTTAGGAAAAGAAGTACCTATTTCCTTTGTAATTTATATTGTAATTCTTGTCCCTTTTATGAACTCAAAAGGAAATAATGCTATTAAGAAATATAGAGATGACTATGTATAAAATGAACACTTTTATAGAAGCAGGTTGGAAAATGAAATTCCTATTAATAAAATACAAATAATTTAGTTGCCGCAGCTGGGTATCTCCTAACTGCGGCACATATTCCTGTAATTGCACTAATCCATGTGTGTGCTCTTGCTCTTTTGCAGGCAGACCAGTAATGATTGTGGTGGAATATATGGAGAATGGATCCCTAGACTCCTTTTTGCGGGTGAGGTGTTCTTTTCTGATGGCATTTAAATAAGCTATTCTCAGTTCTATATTTAAATCATTATCATAAATTAATTTTTGCATAATGTTATTCATGGATTTTCTGTGAAGAATAGCAGTGTTTTCTCTAGGGTGCATTTTCCTGATACTGTGATACATTAGAGTGTCACAAAGGGAGGAGGATGTACACTCAATAACATAATTGATTTATCCTGTAAATTCACTTGCTATATGTGTGTGTGTATGTATGCGTTTGTGTGTGTGTGCGTATACCAAATAATGTTATGAAGAAAGAGATTAAATGAAACTCAGTTGCCTCACATCGTCATTAATTTTGCTTTATCACATTTGACTATGTAGTATGATATTGTATACATTATCTATAATGCTGAACTGCATTGTTGTGTATTTACTAACAGTGACTCAAGTTCATTTCAGAAAATGTTCTTTCAGCTTTATCCCGCTCAATTTCATTTGGCTAACTATTCAGAAAACAAAAAGAGGAGGAATAAAACTCTTTAGCAGAGATTTTTTTTATAAGAAATAAAATTTAAAATATTATTTTTAAAGTGATTTATCTTTAAAAGTATAGTATAAACAAAAAATAATTTATTTTATAGTGATACAAACACATAATGAGAAGGGACCAGGAAGTTATATTTCAAGGTTTAATTATAATATATTTAAAATTTGAAAAACCATGTGTGCTATGAAAAGATTCATTGATGGTGAAAAAAGTGAAATGTTAAAAAAACTGCTATAGTAAATATTTTTCATCCCCAGCAAAGGTCGTATATTTGCATGTTACTGTATTTTTAATATCTATTTATCTGTCTATCTACAGAGATATAACTATTTATCTCACTTACAAAATGGCTGGACTTTGCCACTTGGAATGTTACATTATTTTTCTTCTTTATTTTCATGTGAAAATAAACCATTCACTTCACTTTTTTTTTCTGCCCCATGTTATGTGAACAAGTTCTATTTGGATCTCACCTTTTTCTCTTGATCTCAGTTTCATTTATTTTTCTTGATTCTGGGACCTCTTCTTCCAACTGCTCTGAATGCTAGCAGTGATGATATATTTATACTCTGACTGGGCTTGATGTCCAGATTCAATCCTAGAAGCTGAATTCAGCAAAATCATCAAGTTATTATAGAGCAATCCTGTTCGTGCAGTATATACTCTCAACCAAGTGTGCTCTGTAAGGTAAAATGAAATTCAGAAGTGTTTGGGGACATGAGCTGTTTGTTCTTCTCTGTAGCCATTCTGACTAAAAATGTGTTATTTTACAGCTTGTGTTCATTTCTCCTGTTCTAAATTATTTTAGAATAATTTATCAGGACCACCTATGGTACTTGAAATGCATGTATACTTAATGTCCTTCCATTATGTTTCTTCGAAAACTCATTTTTATCAGCTGCATATCAAAATGACTCATTAGCTAATGATGCTTGGGATAGGTTGGTCTTCTTTTTATTTTCCTCTTTTTATTTTTGAATCAGCTGTGTCCTAAAGCAGAATATAATGGCAAATAATGTAGCAGATATTCAATCTAAATTGATGCTAAAAATGGATCAAATGACTACCACAAGCAAATAAGGTGAGAAATATTAGCTTCTCACCTAATTTATATACTTTATTCTGCTGAATAATGAATCAATTAAATGTTACAAAGAAACGGTCATATGCTATAAATAAAAGATTTACTTCTAAACATCCTACTACATGTTTTTAAGTGGTGTATTTTATGCTTTAAATTTTAAAAACTAATATTTTTTAGCTCTTATTATGTACTTTGTACATAAGACATTATCGGATATTCTAAGGGGAAAACACTTATACTTAATTGATAATAGCTATCATTACTACTGCTAGGAGAACCTGAATACTTTTTTCAGCTAATTTTGGCTCTACTCATGGACCATGTGACCTTGGTCATGGTACCAAATTCTCTGTACCTCTGTTCACTCACCTTTAAAATGAAGATATTGACAGTACTGACTCCATCTCCTACAATTGTTATAAAGATTAATTGATTGTTGTAAAGTTCATAGAATAGTGGGTGACACATTGCAGGTGGCAGAGCAAGAATTCAAATTGAAGTTTCTATGACTCAAAGAGTTGTACTTATATATTATGAATTCATGTTATGAAATTGCCTACTACTTTTCCTTATAAGTCCACTACCATCTCTTCATGTGGTCTATGTCCCCATTGCACCTAGAATTTCTAAAGGTCACATTATTATAATGCAAAAAAATAAAATGAATAGAAAAATAGGTCAATACTTCCATCTTACTCTACTCTAATGTTCTTACCCTTCTTGGTAATCATCTCTCTTCTCAGAAGCTCAAAGTGCTTTATAAACTTTATGTCAATAGCAGATACTCAACTCCCCATGGCAAGCAGAAATAAAATACATAAATATATATAGCCCATAAATTCTCAAAACCAAAGTCATTTTTCAAACTGCAGCTTTAGAACATAATCACAGCTTATGTGAGCACAGGAAGGAGGAAGTGGCTAAGTGCACTGTGTAGTAGGGGGGCGATCCACGGCTCATTAATAGCCTTCTGTGCTTACTGGAAGCAGGAGAGATTTCCCTTTGGTCTCCCACACTATTTGAAAACTGCTTCAATTTGCTCTTTTATTATGAAGGAGTGGTAGCACTAGTAAGTACAAGATTACATCTAGTGTCAGTGCTGGTGGCTGGCTGGCTGGCTGTGATATTGCACTGGATTCATGAATCTCATACCGTGTGGGATCCTTGGGGACATTCTTCCAGATATACATCAGCAGAGGGGCAGTATAGCCTAGTGTGTGCAGGGGGGCTTGTGTGTGAACATATGTGTGTGTGTATAGAGAGGTGATGTGTGTGTAACCGTGTGTTAATGGCCGTCAGAGAGAAGGGCCAGATCACCTACAAAGGGAAGCCCATCAGACTAACGAGAAACTTTTAGCAGAAACCTTATAAGTCACAAGACATTGGGGGCCGGTATTCAACGTTATTAAAGAAAAGAGATTCCAAACCAGAATTTCATATCCATTCAAACTAAGCTTCGTAAGAAAAGGAGAAATAAGGTCTTTTTCAAACAAGTAAATGCTGAAGGAATTCATTACTCCCAGACCTGCCTTATAAGAGATCTTGAAGGAAGCACTAAATACAGAAAGGAAAAACCAGCCACAACAAAAACACAATGAAGTACAGTCCAGCAACACTATAAAGTAACCACATAAACAAGTCTGCAAAATAATTAGCAAGTATCACAATAGCAGGATCAAATCCACACATAACAATACTAACCTTAAATGTAAATGGGCTAAGTGCCTCAATTAAAAGACCAGAATGGCAAGCTGAATAAAGAACTATGACCTATCGATATGCTATCTTCAAGAGACCCATCTCACATGCAGTAACACACAGAGGCTCAAAATAAAGGGATGGAGGAAAATTTACCAAGCAAATGGACAACAGAAAAAAGCAGAGTTGCCATCCTAGTTTCTGGCAAAACAGGCTTTAAACCAACAAAGATTAAAAAAGACAAAGAAAGGCATTACATAATGGCAAAAGGCTCAATTCAACAAGGCTAGCTGAACTATCCTAAATATATATGCACCCAAAACAGGAGCACCCAGATTCATAAACCAAGTTCTCAGAGACCTTGAAAGAGACTTAGACTCCCACACAATAATCATGGAAGACTTTAAAACCCCACTGTCAATATTAGACAGATCATCAAGACAAAAAGTTAACAAAGATAGTCAGGACCTGAACTCAGCTCTGGATTGAATGGACCTGGTAGATATCTACAGAGCTCTGCACTCCAACACAACAGAATATATATTTTTCTTATCATCACATGGCACTTACTCTAAAATTGATTACATAATTGGAAGTAAAACACTCCTCAGCAACTGCAAAAAAACTCATATCATACATTCACTCAGACCACAGCACAATCAAATTAGAACTCAAGATTAACAGATTCACTCAAAGTCATACAATTACATGGAAATTGAGTAACCTTCTCCTGAATAACCTTTGGGTAAATAACGAAGTTAAGGCAGACATCAAGAAGTTTCTTGAAACTAATGAGAACAAAGATATAATGTGGCAGGATTTCTGGGACACAGCTAAGGCAATGTTAAAAGGAAAATATTTAGCACTAAATGCCCATCTCAAAAAGCTAGAAAGAACTCAGGTCATCAACTAGCAACACAACTAAAGGAATGAGAAAACCAAGAGCAAACAAATCCCAAAGCTAGCAGAGGATGAGAAATAACTAAGATCAGAGCTGAGCTAGAGAGACATGAAGAACCATTGAAAAGCTCAATAAATCCAGGAGCTGATTTATTTTTTTACAGTGATAAAATAGATAGACTGCTAGCTAGAATAATAAAGAAGAAAAGAGAAGATTCAAATAACACAGTCAGAAATGATAAGGGAATATTACCCCAAAGAAATAGAAGCAACAATCAGAGAATACTACAAACACCTCTATTCACATAAATTAGAAAATCTAGAATAACTTGATAAATTCCTGGACACATACACCCTCCCAAGACTGAACCAGGAAGAAATTGAATCCCTTAACAGACCAATAACAAGTTCTGAAATTGAGGCAATAATAAATAGCCTTCCAATAAAAATAAAGCCCAGGACAAGATGGATTCACAGCTGAATTCTACCAGATGTACTAGGAAAAGCTGGTATCATGTCTACTAAAACTATTCCAAAAAATTGAAAAGGAAGGGGTCCTCCCTAACTCATTCTATGAGGCCAGTATCTTCTGGCCAGTATCTTCCTCATACCAAAACTTGGCAGAGATACAACAGAAAATAAAACTTCAGATCAATATCCTTGGTAAACATCAATGCAAAAATCCTCAACAAAATACAGGCAAACAGAATCCAGCAGCACATCAAAGAGCTTATCCAATGCGATCAAGTAGTCTGCATTTCCATGATGCAAGGTTGGTTCAACATACATAAATCAATAAATGTGATTCATAACATAAACAAAACTAAAAACAAAATCCACATAATTATCTCAATAGATGCAGAAAAGGCTTTTGATGAAATTCAACATCCCTTCATGTTAAAATCTCTCAATAAACTAGATATTGAAGGAATATGCCTCAAAATAATAACAGCCATTTATGACAAACTGACATCCAACATCATACTAAACGAACAAAAGCTGGAAACATTCCCCTTGAAAATGGCAGAAGACAAGGATGCCCTCTCTCACCACTGCTATTTAACATAGTATTGGAAATTCTGTCCAGAGCAATCAGACAATAGAAAAA